GTTTCACGGCATTATGCATTCCGTACCTTCATACCTGTGCCAGGCAGAAATGGGATATACTCATGATGAAGTGATGCATTGTAAACTTTTCTAATTTATGGTTTAAAACTTATGCTGAATTTTATTAAGCCACTAATTGATTCCGAGAAAGCTACAACGGCAAGGCGCGCGCATCAATCAACAAGGACGTAAGCCTTCCACACTCTAACATATCCACGCCAGAACACTACGTTCCTTTACGAGTCACAGATCATTCATTCGTTGCCAGAGCTGGTGGCACGCAAACACAGGGGAGCTATTCGTTGTCTAAGGGCATTACCACTGAATATAAGAAGAGTTACGCCGTGTTTCGAATTGGAACCGGACACTTTTAAGGTGTAGCACAAACTAGTATCTGCTGTATGAAGTTACACCACCTCACCATGTCGTAATGTGACCAGGTCTTCCATCAATAGCATCCATTCATTGATAATCATGATACTATGAAATTTGCCTTCGTCGTCACGACGAAACTGAGTCAAATCCAACATTAATGTCTGTGGTCATATCCTCACTTGAGACTCGACATAGGAATTGCTTCGAGGACATTGTTTACAGTAACGAAAGCAGTTCTTGAAAGACACTATTTTCATGGTTAAAGGAGACGTACAGAAGGTGTGGTGCTAAATGAATTCTCTGGAACACACTGAAAAATTTACCTCTGCCACTCGATTCTAAAACCGAGTTCTTCATGTCCGTTTTGAGTGCGATTCCCTTATGGGGAGGAGTAGTAGCAAAGGAAATAGAGAACCTTTTGAAGAACTATGCGTAATTCATAGCAACAGGATGATACATTCATTTTCAAAGTCCATTGCTTTGTTCGTGTCATGGAAACAGCTACCTCAGGAAGTGTTTTGTCGCAGTTCGCTGAGGACAAGTCTAACCCTTTGGATTCGACGGCGTGACAATGTCAGACCATGAATACAGTCGAGTCGAGATGTCTTCAGTGTCGCTTTACTAAAAGAGTTTAGCTGGTAGCTTCTCCTGTGCTCCTGTGACACCTCATGCGACGAAGAAGCAAAAGCGAAATAAAATCAGACACATGCACAGAGACGCAGGCAGGGGACTTTAACGATTTTACTTATAACATCAACGAGGGAGAGCGCTACAGTATGGCAGTGATAAGCATTGGAGTTATTTACCAGCAGTCACGAGGATCGACCACGCGTAAAGGAAGCCGTCGGTCGCGTCCCAGCGACTTTTCGCCATATCGTCGGGCTCGTAGTTCAGGTGGTCCTCGGCAGCGTGGGTCTGGGCCAGGGCGGTCAACAGATCGTTCACTTCGTGCTTCCAGACGATGTCGAGGGCCCCACACGAGTTGGTCAAATAGCCGACGATGTCCGTTCGAAGAGCTGAGATGCGGTCGAGCTTTTTCTGCCGAGTCCCCTGGTCGGCGGCAGCTTCGAGGGTCTGAAAGACGAACGCGCCGAACTTCGCGTAGCACACGACGAACAGCAGCAACGCCAGATGAGGCAACGTTATTTTCAAAATCTAGAACAGCACACAAATCAGACATGACCCTCCACACCCCTACGATGAGATTCATGCTGAAATTATGTCACACAATACAGTAAAACCTGGTCAGTTTGAAACACCTTTCTAAAAGTACTTTTAATTTCGTATAATCTGTTTGATGCCTCCATAGATCTAGACAGAAACGGTAGATCCATGTTAAAGATGTCATTCTAACTGTTCGTTTGTCAGCAAAATAACATTGACTACCCTCAGAACAGACAACGAGGCGAAGCCTCCTATCACGTGTTCAGATTCGAACGGTGTAACCGCACCGTCCTCATGCTTCTAGAAATCTGGAGACTGCTTTAGTCGTTGGCATGATTTTTAGCACCTGCAATGTGTGCAAAAGAATATCATTTGGTTGCCTCAAACAATAACGGATATACCTCAACCTGTAGACAAACATAGCAAAAAATAACTAGCCCTTAATTATGCGTCTTTTAGCAACCTGTTAGTTTTCGACAGTCTCTTGTCAGTTGTCCCATACGTAGAAGCATAAGGACTGTCTAAGTAGACGACAACTCCGTGATATTGTAGGACCTGCTGTGCGGTAACACCAAACAGTGCCAATTCGTTGAGTCGAAAAACAAACGAGGTAATGTAACTTTGGTTGTAACTATGGACAAGACTACTTTATATCCCACTGTTTGCCCTGAAAATGGATAAGATTTTTCGATTAAAACACGACATTTCTAAACAAATCATTAACATCATTCATTCTTTGTGTCTAGGATCACTGAAGCATCACTTTTGTCGAAACCATATTATTCAAAATCCTAGGATAATAAAACTTTTCTTTAAAATTTAAGTCTGAATGAAAAAAATCATAGAGTTACCGGATAGCTCGTAATTCGAAAAAAATGATACTATATGCTTATATACCATCCCCTCATAAATAACGCACAACTCCTCCAAGACCAGATTTCACGGCTTCTAGTTGTCTGGGAGGGGGCATTTAGCCAGGTCACAGATTCGTGGTATTTGCCTTGTCACTTTGTTCACTAGAACCACCTAGCTGGTGCTCGTTATGCGATACAGTACAAACTTTAAAATATGTTCGTATACTGGAGTATGTGAAATCGGTCACTGGTTATTTGATATACTCTGGCTTGCGGACACATTTTTGATGTTTATGCAGTGGAATATGGTATATTTTCAGCCCCTGAAACATTGTTCGTAATGTGAATTTAACAAAGAAAAACGATACGAGCATATTACATTGCAGATGCCTAAATGCTATGTATTCGAGGTCTGATTAAATGCTCACAGACAACCATGAACAATGGGACATGCAGTACACTGTGAAATCTGATTTTGAAGTATTTATGAGTTATTTTCAACTGTTGTTTCATATTTTGAAAGTAAGAACCTCTGGCCTTCTTGTTCAAGCAGTAAACTTCACTTCGAAATTTGTTTAAGCAATGTTTCAGCATAATATAGCGAATCAACCATTCTTCAAAGTGAACAGATGGGAGATAGGTAAACTACGTGGTCACTTTCCCTGGTCAAGTCCACTGCCACTAACTGGCGAGCAAAATAAGCTTTAGCCCATAAATAATTTGACAGGTGTCCGACAAGAGTATAAATACGGAACGCAGTAGTTTGCCATTCTCACAACATTCGTGCAGCATTTCAATCCGCTTCTGCTGGGGCATGCGCCAGTGAGCATTTCCCAGACCTATGAAACAGGAGTTTAAAAACAGATGGATTTCAGTGCTAAAATGTGCGGGTCTTGCATGGCATGATTTGTGGTATAGGGAGACTATCGTACTGTGAATGAATTAAACATTATCGAGGCGAGTAGAGACTAACCAACCGTCCATCAGAAGATAAACACACGAGGTACCTTAAACTTTTTTGAGGAACGTTGAGCAGAAGCGCCGTCCTTTCCTTTCGTCGTCGAGGTAGGTTCAACCAGCAAGGGTGAATCCTCGTCGTCCACCGCCACCCTGAGGCGACTTCGAGGGGCATCCATGTGCATCATCTTTCTTGCCATCGTTTTGGCCATCTTCACCTCTTCAACTGTCATGTCGACAAGAAGCAAAATATGGCACTACAGATCACGACAAATGCGATTAAAACATGACGCCAGTTTACGGTGTTCAAGAGTTTGTGGACAGATGATTTTCCATCATCTTACTAACCTCTCTATCCCACCGAACCATCGACCAAAATGATACATAGTTGTCATCCAGAAACAACATGCGAACCCTAATGTCTAAATATTGAGACGGCGGAATCATCTACTACGTGCCCAAAATTTTCACAAACTGCCTCACCTCCCTGAATCCATCATGCTGATTTC